GCACTGTACGAAATCAGGCGCGAAGTGATGCCTACATGATAAGCTGTAAAAATCACGTGTCATTAAGACTTTTTGCTAAACACTAAAAATTTTATATAATTATTATATAAAATTTTATAATTATTTATAAATATATAATTAAGAATGGTAATTTTAACAGGTAACCTTTATTTTTTTTCTTTGCAGACACACTAAGGTGACATATATCAACACTTGGCAACTTATTGACTATTTATTCAGTTGGTTTCTATATCATTTTTATATTTATAATAATTTTTATCCTTGATCTTCATTTTTCCTTTTTCTTTCTTAGTATAACTTTTAATTATATTACTTAAGTTAATTTTTAGAATTCTACAATCCACCTCTGTTAGCTCATTGCATATACGATCTAAATTTGGCACTATGTCTATTACTTCCCAATCGTTTGGTCCATTAAAGTCCAAACCTTTTTGCATTGTCTCTAGGATATCATTAGGTATATCAATTTGTGTTTTATTCAACACTAAAGATCTTTTCCATTCCGATATCTCTTCTATAGAAGGGTAGTTAAATTTTTTTACCAGTTTTTTATGTTTGTTCAGTTTATATTTATCGACATTGTTTCCTTGTGGGTTTTTTGTTTTATCTCCTTTATCTTCGAAATTAACGTTCTTTTTCCTTTTGTTGTATTTTTGTAGATCACGTTTTAGTCTTCTAATTTTTATATATTTAAATTTTATAGCAGATGTTAATATTTTTTGATTTATGTAATTTCTATCACGTGTTGGGATATTTTCTATTATAGACTGTGGGAGAGACAGTNCTGAAGAGGGGCCAATGCCCGAAACGCGTAATGTAAAAGGCGTCCCAACTGAATAAATAGTCAATAAGTTGCCAAGTGTTGATATATGTCACCTTAGTGTGTCTGCAAAGAAACAGCTTAATAACAACAACACGGTTTCATCAGAATCAAACGAAATTGTTAATATAGAAACGGCAGTTATCGACCAGAAGAAAAGGAAAACATGTGTACAGTTCAATATCAAGAAAAGATACAAGGTGAGATAGACAAACTTCTAATAGATTTAAATTACCTAAAAGTACACCTTAAGGAGCATAGACAATTAAAAACACTGTCTCTCCCACAGTCTATAATAGAAAATATCCCAACACGTGATAGAAATTACATAAATCAAAAAATATTAACATCTGCTATAAAATTTAAATATATAAAAATTAGAAGACTAAAACGTGATCTACAAAAATACAACAAAAGGAAAAAGAACGTTAATTTCGAAGATAAAGGAGATAAAACAAAAAACCCACAAGGAAACAATGTCGATAAATATAAACTGAACAAACATAAAAAACTGGTAAAAAAATTTAACTACCCTTCTATAGAAGAGATATCGGAATGGAAAAGATCTTTAGTGTTGAATAAAACACAAATTGATATACCTAATGATATCCTAGAGACAATGCAAAAAGGTTTGGACTTTAATGGACCAAACGATTGGGAAGTAATAGACATAGTGCCAAATTTAGATCGTATATGCAATGAGCTAACAGAGGTGGATTGTAGAATTCTAAAAATTAACTTAAGTAATATAATTAAAAGTTATACTAAGAAAGAAAAAGGAAAAATGAAGATCAAGCATAAAAATTATTATAAATATAAAAATGATATAGAAACCAACTGAATAAATAGTCAATAAGTTGCCAAGTGTTGATATATGTCACCTTAGTGTGTCTGCAAAGAAACAGCTTAATAACAACAACACGGTTTCATCAGAATCAAAGGTAACCTTTAATAATGCCTGTGCTTTTTTGGAAAATTTTCGAAATTTTTCAAGGAAGTTGAGGAATTGATATTAATTTAATTTTTCTATGCATTTAAAGGACATATTTTCCACATAGTTTAAATTTTGTAAACAGATTTTACAAAAACTTTATAAAAGCAGTATTTTGGCGTTTTGAATTATATAAGCATTATTATATGATTCATTATTATAAAATTATTATAAAAGCAATATATTATACGCATAAAAGCAATTGTTCTAGCATTTTGACAAAAGTTTTTTTTTTCAAACAATATTTATATGAAGTCTTTCAGACGTTACAGTAACTTTGATCACGTTTGAGGACATCACAACCTATCCAACACAGATCACTTTCAAATATTATGATATAATATAATAGAAGAATCAGAACTACGAAATAATATAATAATCTTAATCTTCGCTGTTCTTATTTTTTGCTCAAGAAACGCTGGGCTTTTGTGCTAAACGTTTTATGCGCTAGTTACAATATAAAGAATAATTGCATTAGTTCTCGAAACAATAGAATATGCCATTATTCTGGCATTTTGACACTGTGGAACCAACCAACCAACCAACGATTAGCTATTGATAACTATAAGAATCGAACGGAAAATGGAGAAATAGAGCATAAACGGTTACGAAAAAAGTCTTTTATTTCCCATGCAAACAACACTCAGTTATTTTCTTCCTTAAAAACGTTTTATAAAATGGTTGTAGTATTCAGTAATTCGACATTATAACATTAATTAATGCTTTTAATTACTGCAATTTTTAAAACCTTTTTCTAAGATTTTTAAAAAGTTTTTTTCGGTTCAAAACATTTTGTCAGATAATAACTTAATGTCTGTCTCACAAGCCATTCAAAAAATACACAATAAACGATTTGCATACAAAATGACTAATTATGTGATAAATCAGTACATTAGTAAATTCGAAAAGCATAAATATATAAGGTCAACAGATTTCCTTCGTTTATACATGATTGCTTATCTAATACGAAGAAATTTTTCATTCATGAAGGATATAAGCAACACGTAAGACGAATTTACAGATATTTAACAATTTATTTCTGTGACGTGTCAGGTTGGCACGTTACAGTAACATTATATATTTTAAAATGTTTCCATTTTTTTTAATAATAGAACCAGCTGACAATTTGTAAAATTTGCGTGGGTAAAGCTGCTACCAGTGGCATTTCTCAACACGATTTTGCAATTTAATATAAATAACCCTACCTCAATACATCAGTTAGATTCTCAATCATTAGTTGTTACTAATTTTGTAAAATCGTTGATTTTTAATATATTACCTGAAATTAACTTTCAAATATAGAATTCTGAGATACGATAAATATTAAATCAATTTTATTTTCGAAACATAAATGACGAAACATAAATAAAAAATACGGTTACAATTACTTCAGTACCTCTTCGTAAACCACGTTTGTGGTATTACCATTTGGAGCTAAGACTTTCTAAGACTGGAGCTAAGGCCCACCAGTACACAAGCGGCTCTGTTACCTGAACACTGGGTGTTCGGTAACTGGTTCGCGACTCTGCCAGATATGCCTGCCAAGTGGTATTTTCTGAGTTTACTTCTCCTCTGAATTGTCTGAACAGTTATCCTTAAAAACCTCCTGGAAAGCATCTCCTTTAGGCAGATCGCCCAAGTGTCACGTTGAAATAACTTAATAAATAAATAAACAAATAGATAATATTATTGCAATTGATGTAAATGTATAACTTAATTATTTTGGAATCAAATGTATTTCTGAAACAAACTGTTTAACAAGTAATGTAAACAATACAAATAATAACTTTAAAATTATTTGAATTGTCCATTTCATTCATTGGCCCGGTTTTCTAGTCTTTGTGGTTTGTGGAAAAACACCAAGACAAGTTTGACTCCTCATATCAGTTGACGTCATTGTAGTAGTTATGCTTGGGCTGGCGCTACTTTCGTCACCAGTAATCAAGTGAGATTGTTGCCTATTTTTGAAACACAAGCCTCTGCCTACTCTACAAACGTGGAACTTGTTTATTCGGGTGACGTCCGAGCCGGTACTATACATAGATTTTCTAAATACCATTGTAAATATCTCCACATACTATGGATATAGTTTCTTTTAGCTTGATTTCTCTTCTTAGACCCTACTGACATGGAAATCCCTATCAGTAGCTTGTACTCCAGCCTTATTGCTTTATGGATTATGAATTAGTAAAATTACTGGGCTTTCCCATAATGAAAGAGAATTTTTTTATTGTTACTAAGACCATCATCCAATCTCGATTATATCAGATTGTAAATGCTATTAACAGGTAAAATCATAATTTAGTTCAATTCTTAATAAGCTATGTTAAACATCTTTTTTTAAATCTTATTTTAATATCGATTTTCAAACACTAAAATATTATACCATTAATCTTTGTTATACTCGAACCAGCCTGTAAATTTTAATAAATGCTCAGCAAAAAAGACAGCGACTATTGTTTAACAAAATCGTGCATCTTAGCACTAAAGAAAAATCTACACACAAAGAAACAAAATTAAAAAGTTTATATTTATCGAAAGCTTTTATATTCACTTTATGACTTTTATATTTATTTTTTCTTGTATTTAACGAAGCGATAAAACAAAATGATATTACTAATATAAAAAAATAATTTTCAGGTATATAACAATTACAAAATAAGTGAAACTGCAGGAAAATAAGTTGAATTCGGCCTCCGCTAAAGGTTATTAGTTGCAATGCAAACTGTTTCATCTGCTACCTTATTAATATAATAAAAGAATTCAAACGTTACATAAATATTAATAAAGTTTATTAATGTAAAAATGTTTTAATACAACAGATGAAAATAAAGTATAACTTTAAACTTTTTATTGTAGAAAAATTTTTTATTGTATCTAGACATATATTTCTACTGGATTTATAATTTATAATAACGCGATTACAAAAAAATAATAGAATAGTTACATTTATTTGTATATAATAACATCAGCAAACGTAATAATTTCGAAAAGTCTCGATTCAAAAAAAAAACACTATATCGTGACTGATTTCTAGAACTAACCACTGATCCAAATATAACATCAAATTAAATAAAAATAAGGTATGTTGAAAAGTTTTAAAATTGTAAGTTTATTTTACAATCACAATAGTAAATTCTCCGGAAACACTTTTCTTTACGCCTGGCTCTATATTTCGTTATTAGCTTTAAAGAAAATTGAAGAGATTAAAGAAAGAACAACAGGAACAAAAATCAATGCATGAAATGCAGTTTCTATTGCGATAAGAAATACGATTTTCACAAATATAATGAAAGCGTACATATCTCTGTATACAAATAAAATTCCTAAAATGGTTGACAGAGATCCTTGACATATTGGATAGCCGATACGATACAGACTGTCTTTCATTTTTTCATTGGGGGTTTGATACGGAGAACAAATATATGCGTAAGATATGTGAGCCAAATAATTTACGCAGAATCCGACACATAATATCAGACTCATCATAGATAAAATGTCCATGTTTATACCCCACAGAGACATGTATCCTAAAGTTTCTACAATGGTGGATGTTACCGATATTGCAACGAGAACAGCAACGACAATGTTTGGTATGATAACTACAAAAAGAATCATAATCAAAAGTGAAGTAATCCACAATAAATCGTTAATTGTACGTCCAATTATTATTCCTTGTTCGTATAGAGGTGTGACTGCTGCATGAACAAGAACAGGAAATTCGAATTCGTCAGCAATTTTCCACAGAGTTTTTAACATTTCCATTTCAGCTGCTGGACTTAACGTATCATTTACAAAAATATGGAATCTGCTACTTATAATATCGGATCCATCAAAATTAAATGCAATATCATCGGAGAATTGTTCCGCTGATTTAAACTTCAAAAAAACATCGCGAAGTCCATCCAAGAAATCTTCTTTAATTGACATGTTGTATCCTCGTAATGAATATTTTGCTAGCGGGTGATTTTGGAATTCTTTATAATATTTTAACCACGATAATGTAAATCTGGAATCGGCGATGTATGAAAGACTTTCGAATTTGTTGAATAGTTCGTCTACGGATTTCTGTACATTCAAATCTGAATAATCAAGTGTGCTGTTAATGACTATTTGGTAAGGAAATGTATACCGGCCGAAACTATTATAATATATTTTAATACCCTTTGTTATTACGGATTCTTCTGGATATAACTTAGTAAAATCTATACCGTGTTTTATAGTCAACGCTCCCCATATTCCAAATGATAAATTCAGAAAGTAAACGATGATAACTGCTATCTTCGTTACATTCACAGATAGAATTTTCTCGAACTTGTCCCTAAAATATGCCATTGTTGGCTCATCAGTTGACGTTTCTTCTTCTGTAGAAACATTTTCGATATCTTCTAGAAATAAAATTAACCATTTAAGATATCAATACGAGATTTGTATTCGAAAAATCATTTCGTAACATTGTATAGTTTTTAATCATTTAATGTAATATTAATTAATTATTTGCAAAATACATAAATGAAATAAAACCTGCTTAGACATTTATAAAATCACGTGACAAAGTGTGATTATTTAGAAAAATCATTTTTTTAATAATATTTCTTATTATAGTTTTCATTTTTTTCGTCGGAAGGTCGTTGTTTTTGTTAAAATAAAATATGAGATTATTGGAAACGGATAAGGCGAAAGTGAAAAAAAGAGGAAAAACAGCAGAAAAGAAAAGAAATGAAAGAACTTTCTCAGAGGCTCACGTTAGAATAATACAACTTTTGCGTTTAATGCTGGCATGAAAATTTTATGCTACAAGTTCCTAAAACTGAAGCAAAGCCTGAGTAGTAACATACACCAAAAATCAGTGCAGCGACATATAAGCTAGAAAGAGCAAAGTTGTAAGCTTAACATTAAAATAAAAATTGAAACTAATTATAAAATAAAGCGACTTTACGATAAATCATACTTTAATAATATATTAAACTAATTTAATTTAACGACAGACATTGCGGCATCAACCTCAAACATTTTTGCTTCTCTCGCGGTCTATACGTAGCTTGCTCTCGAGTAGGAAATTCGAAAAATTTGTACATATATACTCCGGAAAATTAAATGAAAAATGTTGTTTATAAATCAGTATTGTAAATAGTTAGAATATGTTTTCAATAATATTTTTTTACCTCTAATATTTTAAAGTTTATTCTTTTATTCCAATTACCACACAATCTCATATCAACTCCCTGAGCGAAGCCGGGTACCCCAGCTAGTAAGTATATATGCAAGTAACCAGCTGTTATTACACATGCAAGAACATTGCACGTAACCAGTTTATTAATATTTTTCTTTTTACTTTTAGTTTTAATTATACGTAACTGAACACAACAAATATATATTCCTGTAATATTTCATATTTTAAATTAATTAAATTCAATATTAACAACATTAGTTGTCGCATAAAAAAGCTGAAATTAATTACAGTAGACCCTTCTATAATTACGGTCCCTATAATTACGATTTCTATAAAACTGCAAAAAAATTGCGACAATATTTTTAAAAACCCGTAAAAAACTCCTATAATTATGTAAAACGTCATCGGGCAGCCGAACTACTTTCGCCCCGTCCGTAGCGCCACGCTACGAAGAGATTACTATCGTCTGTACAGTATTATATATAAATTATATATAAATTAGGTAATGTACATATAATTATATATTAATTATATATAAATTAGGTACTGTATATATAATTATATATTAACTTAATTTATTGTAACTTTATTATAATTAAATATATATTTTTCGCCGTCTAGCGTCACGCTACGGCGAGTTAGGCGACCTATCGTCTGTTTAGTACTGTAATTTTATACATTTCTTGTGAAAGAAACATTTCTTATT